GAAATGATAAAGTCACACCCTGAGTACTAAGAAACACGCATAGGTTGAAGGCACTAACCAAAGCTAAAGCACAATGAATCTTTGGGAATCTTAGGAAAGTGAACAAAATAGGCATAAGGCTCGTAGCCAGAAAGTCTCTGAAAGTAAATAAGAAAGGCCTGGTTGAGACTTAGGTGAAGCCCTAAGTCATCTGAGGACTTCTCAGAACTGACTCCTATAGCTATGGCATTTTTAAGGGTCCCAAGCTTCTGCGGGCTCCTCTATGCAATGAGAAAGGACATTTGGTCATCATCCTGCCTCCCTGACATGAAGAAAGGACCAGACCCCAGAGTCAGTGTACTTGCTCCCCCTTCTTCCTAGTTCTCTCAAGCAGTATTCTCACAGTGTTGTAATTATATTCATAGGCTTTGTGATTAAACATGGGCTTATAGCCTAACTCTGCCATTAACTAAATGGCCAACCTTAGATCATTTCACCTGACTGAATTCCAGTTTTCCACATCTATAAAAATGTATAAGCAGCCCAGCCAGTGGCCTGGTGGTTAAGGTGGCTGGATCACACATGACGAACTACACAATTAAAGTTCGAGACCCAGCAGTTTGAAAAACATGTTGAGCACATATACATATGTGTGCAAAATCCTGAGAGAAGAATGGAAGAGAAGGAATTGTGGTGTGGCCATCCTTGAGGGGTGCTCTCTCTCTCTTTCATATCTCTTTAGTAAGTCCAAGTGCCCTATCACACACAAAAAAAGGTGTATAAGTATAATATCTAACACATAAGTTTATTGTAAGAATGACAAAAGATAAAGTATGTAAATCCCTTAGTTTAGTATTTGATACATAACAATTGCTCAAAAAATGGTAGCTGTGCTACTAGAGGAAAGTAGAAGTTAATGACAGTTGATTTAACAGAGCCATGATAGATGTTGACAGTGATTTCTCATGGACTAAGCCTTGCCTAACATGATCACTTCATCCCATAAGGACTCAAGAATGGCAATTATGAAAATGCCTTTAGAAATCACCTAGTCTTAGGGCCAGTAGGTGGCATGGTGATTAAGGTACTGGATCCCATGTTACCAAATCTGCGGTTCAAGTTCTGGACCCAGTGATTTGAAAATCATGCCAGGGACATGTGCATGTATGTCCAGAATCTCAAGAGGACAATAGAGAAGAGATTGTGTTAAGACCACCCCCCTGAGGGGGGTGATTTCTCACTCTTCCTTTCTTTATGTCTCTCTCTGTCTGTGTGTGCAAGTGTACATGCCCTATGGCAAAAAGAAAAAAAATCAACTAGTCTTACTATCTCAGAATATAAGTAATGAGTCAAAGGCTTGTATAAGAAAGAGACTTGTTAAAGCTCATGCAATAAGTTTTTTTTTTTTTTTGGAGAGGTTTTCGTTATAGGGCGCGTGCACTCACCAGACAGAGAGAGACATAGAGACAGAAAGCGAGAAATCACCCCCCAGAGAGGATGGTCACACCGCAATCCCTTCTCCTCCATTCTCCTCTTGGGATCTTGGGCACGCATGCACACGTGCCCGGCGTGAGTTTTAAGCCACCGGGTCCGAGACGCGAACCATGGTCGACTACGTGGGAGTCCTGGCGTGAGTTTTAAGCCACCGGGTCCAAGATGCGAACTGTGGTCGACTACGTGGGAGTCCAGCGACATAGCCATTACGCTAACTGCTGGTTCCCAATAAGTTTTTTGAAGTTCATGGCTAGGCCTTATATCACCCCATTGTGTCCTCCAGCTTTCTTCCATGGTCCTTTTCCCTCTCTGCATATCCCTCTAGGAAAAGGGAGCTATGTCAACAGAGAAGGCATAAATCGCGCAGCAGACTTTGCAGTGAGGTTTTGGGATCTTTGAGCCCACGACCACCAGGGCAATAAAGAAACTTCCTGGAGCATAATCAAGCCTGAAACTTCTAGGACAAATCTTTTGTCTACACCCAGATCCTGTTGGTAAAAATGGCAAATATATGGTGCCAAATTCTTGTTCTTCCCAATTGTAACAATTTGTAAGAATGTAGCTTGGTCTATATTAAATACTGGCATGAAAAGTGGCTAACATCTCAACTTTACCAGGAATGCAAAACTATCCCACGAGACCAGAAGGCACTATTCCAGCCAAGGCAAGGCCAAGGATTTCAACCTTATTTTTCAGCAAGAGAACACTGAGAACGTTCTTTTTTCCTTAACCCTTTTAGTTGTATAAGAGGATAAC